TGCTCTGCTTCCCACCTTAGCTACACACAACAGAACCATGGGATGGTTTGGGTTGGAAGGGACTTTAAAGATCATCTAGTCCAACCCAAAATCCAGGTTTTTATCCATCTTTCCCCTCTCAGTTCTTTCTCCCCCTCATTATTCCCTCTCCATCTTTTTAGTTTCTTCTCCTTTGTGTCTCTCTCTCTCTCTTCTTCCTTCTGCCACTGTTGCTGGATTTGCCTCCACTCCTTTCTTCCTCCCTTTGCATTTTTCTCATTCCACTCATACCTTACTCATTTCCTTCTTCATCCAACCCTTTCAAACAATTATACTCTTCTTCATTTTGGAGTAATTAACACTCTCCTTCTTTTCTTCTCTGCATTCTCCTCTTTGCTTTCTCTTTCTTTCTCTCTCTCCCTCCTGGATCTTTGTCTCTGTCACCAACCAGAGCCCAGGTCCCATTGCCAGCCCCAACTCCACCAGAGGGCAATAGTGGTTTTCTTTGGGCTCCTTGCTAACAGTAGAAGGGGGTCAGAGCCCCACTCCCAGCTCTGTCCTTTCCTGGGGGGGTCTCAGCAGCTGAGGTAGATGAGAAATACACCTCCCTCCCTGAGCTACTCCACCCTACCTAGACCCTGGCAAGGATTGCTTGAGCACCCTTTGCACCACCTCCTCAAAGTTCACATTTCTTCAGAGCTGCTGACAACTCCTCTTTCTCTTTTCTTTTTTTTTAAATTTAGAATCTGATGTAACTGCCTCTCACCACAGAAGCAGCTTTTTTATGGGTTGGGGTTGGTTTCTTTTTTATTTTTTGCATTTCCTAGGTTAATGCAAGTTTCCATCAAACCAGCATGGCCATGGTCTCCTTTGTCCTCCTCCTAGCCATTAAACCACTGGCAGGAGCAGGGTATATTTTCATATGGCTAATTGCTACCTATCTCCTCCTCTTGAATAGCTCATATTCTTCTCTTTTCAGCAATTTAGGGAGCTGAAGAGGGCAGAAATCCGTTTTCATAAATACACATCACCACAACCAAGGAATTTCACTCCCAGCTGAGGCAGGAGGACGTGTAAGATGGGTGTGTTACACATGGCTTCCCCCACAGACCATTCTCCTTCTGAGAACAACGTTTTGGGGCTGAGATAATAACGAATCCTTGCAGGGAAGGAAGCCTGGCTCAGCAAAGTCTTTTCCTTAACAAGAAGAAGTTTAGAATATCCTAGAAGATAGAGCTGGAGAAGACCTTGAGATGCTGTGTTGTCTGCTTCATCTCCACCACCTCAGTTCAGAATCAGCTGACAGGAAACCAGTCAGGGGCAATGGTGATGGAATGACTGCCAATAATACCTAACACATAGCATGGACTTGCTATTGATCTAGTTTCAGCTGACAAATGAGGAAGCATCTGGTCTCCTTGAGACATCTAGGTCCTCAACTGATCAACACAGAGAGGTGATGATTATAAATTAGAGATCTATTAAAAAAAACTACATATAAAGGGATGATAGGTGACCCTGACCTCTCGATGACTTCCTGAAAGAGGAAATTGGACAAAATTAACAGTGCAGAGTTGATAATTAGCCAAGAACAAACCAAGTGCCACTGATAGCCAGAAATAAGGCAGAGTTGGTGATCTCGGAAGCTTCAGGAAGTGAGAAGAGAATGGGAAGGAGAAAACCAATCCAAAGGGTTTATTCTCCAGCTCCTGTGAGTGTTGGCTCTCAAGCCATGCCAACAGCCAGAGGAACAGCTATAAACCATGGCAAGTGGTGCTTGCTTTCAAACCTCTCCTTTTAAGACAAAATAGACCAGTCCCAGGCCCTGGAATAATGACTGTCCACTTTCTGAAACTGCTGGCACACTTCTTGGCAAGGTTTTGATGTGTTTGGACTAGTAGAGAGGACTGTGCATGCCAGGGACAAGTCAAGGACAATTGTGGACTGTGCTGTAGATGTCATTCTACATCTGAAGCATGCAAACCCTACCTAGGAGTAAAGGTCTGTCTGGCAGCTATCAATCAGTCCAGGAACCTAAGAACCTCCTAAAAGTCCAGTGAAGGAGAGGAGAGGAAAAAATGAAGACCCAGAAGAGGCCAGAGGGAAAGAACAGAGGAGCTGGCTGCTGAACAGTGATCAGTCCCCCAGGGGACATTTAGGCTGTTAGATTTTCCTTTGAACAACTCATGGCAGAACCTGTGAACCCATGGTGGGATTGACCTTGAGTGGATTTAGTGTCTCTCCTCGCTGCTGGCACACAGTCCAGCTCTTCTGCTGTCGTGGAGGTCTCACAGATATCATCTGCCTTCCTGCCCCATGGCTTTCCCTTGGATGTTTCAAGGTTATCCTATTCACAAGTCCTAGACTCCCAGCTTTGTGCTGTGTTTGTGTCCAGCTGGACCAAAAGGGAGCAGAGGCTGCTGTGAAGAAAGAAAATGCAAATTTCTGTTTCTAGAGACACCCTACATCTATTCTAGACCATTGATGGCAGCCCTGGAGGCCAAATTTGCCATTTCCTAGCCATTCCAGGGCTGGTGGCCAGGCAAGCATCCCCTTTTTTTCTGACTAGACCTTTTCCCATTCTCTGCTGTATTCCATAGAGCTGATTCTCCTCAGGGAGAGAGAAAAGAAGGCACAGAAACTAAGTGGGTCCTATCGAATCCCCCAAACTTTAGCTGATGAGAAATCCAGCTGTTGTGTGCTGCTGTAACAGTTCAAAGGTTCACGGCTCAGAATTGTGCCTCTCGTACGGTTCTCCCATGACTTTGGGACTGGAAAAGGGGCAAGTTCCCAGAAATTAGCAGTTGCCTCCAATCACGTGTTACTTTTGACACATTTTAGGGACTAAAGCCATTTAGAGGGGCTTGAAAAATCCCGTGGCAGTGCTGGAAGTCTGGGGCAAAGCCTCAATCACTAAGGCATTATCCTCTTTGGTTCCAGTTGAGGAAATCCTTCCTTTTGTATCTCCCCTCTGTGAATCAGCCTGACTGGAGAGTCTGTGGGTTTGGGGTGTTTTTCATCTCATTAACCCATTTTCTGATACCATCTTTCACAGGCTCTACCAAGTCCTGCCAAGTGTTTAAGACCAAAGCAAAACTCTGCCAGATGTTCGACTCTATCTATCAATTATCCCTTTAAGTAAAAATCAAGCTGGTAGTTGAGGAAAATGGGGACAGCTGCAGTGGTAACGTTCCCAGGGCTTCATGGATGAGGTTTCAGTATCAGTTTCTTGGGCTGGGATGAGGGTTTCAGAAAATAAAACTGATGTTTGGCCTTGAAAGAAACAAATCCCCATCGTGGGCATTGTTTGCTGGTTTCTGGAGGGCTGTCACAGAGCTGTAACACATTCAATTCTGATTGAATACAGGGGAAAGTTTCCAAAAGCAGAGTTGGGAGACTTTCTCTTGAGAAGATTGATGGTTTCTCACTGGGTTTTCTTAATGAAAGACTATATATTTGGAGTGAGGATTTGAGAGTGGGGTTTTAATGGTTTCTTTTTGAGTTTTACCTCGTTGGCAGAGAAATTGATGCTTTCTTTAATACAAGAAGTACCTCATCTGCATGGTGCAGTGATTTCCCCCTTTTCTCTTGACCAACACAACAGAACATTTGGAGGAGGGATGGAGCAGGAGCAAAGCCATGAATTAAAACTCAACCTTTTCAAGGGAGCCCAAATACCACACCCCAGTACTTGCCAGTGCCTCCCATTGACAGCATTTACTATGCCCAGAAGAGAAACACTTTCCTCACCTTCAATCTGATCAGGGGTGAACTCAACCTGGAAGAGACAAAGAATAAAAGTCAGATAAAACCAAAAAAACTGAAGCAAACAAAAGCAGCACTGGGTTGGTCTCTGTGTTACGGTTAGGGGTGCTCGTGAGGTCCATGAAAGATGCTCCCAAGCATCTTCTGGCTTCGGAGAAGGAAGAACCAAAAAACAGGGTGAGTTTGGAAGGCAAGGACTCAACCCTGATCCTGCAGTTGTTGGAAATCAGGTCACTATTTTCTGTCTGCCCTGTTCAATCCTCCTCTGAAGTAGCTCGTTCAGGGGATTACCATTTTTGCTGGCAATTCTCCATCAGGCTTTACCTTGAATGAAATCCAGTTAATAAAATAGTTGGCTGAGGAGCAGCCAGGAGAACGTCTGGAAGGAAGCATCTAAAAAGTGCCAGTAAAGAGCCCTTTAAAAAAAATATCCATTCTCTTCCTTTTTCTAACCCATGGAGGGGTCCACACATCTTTGTCATGAAGAGTATAACCATCTAGATTGGGTCCTGTCCCAAGCCTACATATCTTTGTTCAATTAGAAATAAAAACCCATCGGGGAACACCTTCATAGAGGTGCATTGTCAGCAGTGTGTCTAATTCCATCAAGCTCTGAGAATTTGACTGAAGCTAATTGCATATTGAGTTTATTCAGATATCAACAGCCACCAGGGGTGCAACAAGGCCAGAGGTGCTGGCAACTTGCATTTAAATCATGATGATGGATGGTTCTTGGGGAAGAATTCATCTCAGCTACACTTAGATGTAGACATCCAGATGTGTCAGCGACCCCACGCTGGGGGTGTCCATTAGAAAAAAGACCATTAGAAACATCATTAGAAAACAGAGAGTAGAGAAGTAGAGAGTGTGGTTTACTAACACAGATGAAAATCTCTGAATCCAAACATGGTGGGGTTGGAAGGGACCTCTAGAGATCATCTCATCCCACCCCCTGCTCCAGCAGCTCACCCCCAGCAGGGTGCCCAGGGTCACAGCCAGGAGGGTTTGGGATCTCTCCAGAGCAGGAGACTCCACAGCCTCTCTGGGCAGCTGCTCCAGGCTCTGCACCCTCACCCCAAACAAGTTTCTCCTCCTGCTCAGGTGGCACCTCCTGGGTTCCAGTTTGGGCCCCTTGTCCTGTCCCTGGGCACCACTGAGCAGAGTCTGGCCCCAGCCTCTTGCCCCCCGGGGCCCTTTAGCTCTTGCTCAGCACTGCTCAGATCCCCTCTGAGGCTTCTCCTCTCCAGCTCAGCAGCCCCAGGGCTCTCAGCCTGGCCTGGCACAGAGATGCTCCAGAACCTCAGCAGCTCTGCAGCCTCTGCTGGACTCTCTCCAGTAGCTTGCCATGCTGTCACTGTCTGTTCTGGAACACCCTGGGACTCCTCTGCCCACTGCTTCCCTCAGCATGACCCCATTTTTACAACCTGTCCTCTGGATCACTGCTGCCTGAGCTCTCCGGGGCAGTAACTCTGCTGTCCTCATGGACAACTTCACCTTGGCTCCTACTCCAAGGAGATGACTTTGGTTCTTTGTGCTCCACACTGTTCTGAAGCAGATGGAAGGGAAAACAAAACCCCAACCCTCTCCAGCTTAAACACAACCCAGGGTTTGTTCCACACACCCTCAACAGTTCCTGTGGCCGGGTGACTGATGACTGATGACTCCTTCTCCCTCCAGCTCCACGCTGCTATGTGCTGAGAGGGCAGAAAAGAGCCGTGGCTGCCACCCACACATCTGAGAGGAAGCCGTGCCTGGGTGGTAGGGTGGGTCAAACCATCCTCCACCACCCTGCCAGCTGTCAGACACCAGCCTCCAGCTCGGGGTGGTGTTTTTGTAGGGGCCAGGATTGGAGGTGAGGCACGCTCAGCTCTCCAGCTCAGACCTTCCCTTTGATCCAGCCGTGGGAATCTGCAGCCATCTCTCCGTGCCCTGGTGCTGTTTCTCCTGGCCTGCAGCCTGCCAAAGGGCTTCTGGGTCAGGCCTTCTGGGTGCCACCCATCAGATCAAAAAGGACAGAAAAGGTGCATTACGAGGAGTGTGACCAGAAGATTGAGGGAGGTTCTCCTCCCCCTCTGTTCCCCAGTTCCAGAGAGAGCAGGAGCTACTGGAGAGAGTCCAGCAGAGGCTGTGGAGCTGCTGAGGGGCTGGAGCATCTCTGTGCCAGGCCAGGCTGAGAGCCCTGGGGCTGCTGAGCTGGAGAGGAGAAGCCTCAGAGGGGATCTGAGCAGTGCTGAGCAAGAGCTAAAGGGCCCCGGGGGGCAAGAGGCTGGGGCCAGACTCTGCTCAGTGGTGCCAGTGACAGGACAAGGGGCCCAAACTGGAACCCAGGAGGTGCCACCTGAGCAGGAGGAGAAACTTGTTTGGTGTGAGGGTGCAGAGCCTGGAGCAGCTGCCCAGAGAGGCTGTGGAGTCTCCTTCTCCAGATTCCAAACCCACCTGGATGTGACCCTGGGCAAGTTGCTGTAGGTGGCCCTGGTTTAGCAAAGGGGTGGGATGAGATGGTCTCCAGACGTGGCTTCCCACCTCTACCATGCTGTGGCTCTGTGATGATGCAGTTCTGTGATCCTGTGATCCATGCTCAGAGGCAGCTCTGCAGCAATGAGCATCCAGGGCAGTAAAACCTTCAGAGATGCCCAGGCTCACTCCTGTCCCCACCAGCACCACCCCACACTTCACTGAACTCCATCAGCAGAGCAGCCCTCCCCACCCAAAGCTTGAGGCTGCCAAACCTACCCAGAAGCTTGATGGGAATTTCCCTTCCTAGACACAGCTTTACATAGAATCATAGAATCATTTAGGTTGGAAGGGACCTTCAAGATCAAATCCAACCATTGAGCCATTAGGGCTCTAAAGTCCTCTGCTAAAACAGATCAGAATCTGTCAGGGTTGGAAGGCACCACAAGGATCCCCCAGTTCCAACCCCTCTGCCATGAGCAGGGACACCTCCCACTAGATCAGGCTGCCCAGAGCCTCCTCCAGCCTGGCCTTAAAGACCCCCAGGGATGGGGCCTCAACCACCTCCCTGGGCAACCCATTCCAGGGTCTCACCACTCTCATGGGGAAGAACTTCTTCCTCACATCCAGCATCCTCCAGTTCCTTGGAAGAAGACTACGATCATTTCCCTTGGGGTTTAATTTGTTTGTTGGAAATTCAGTGACACTTCAGAACTGTTTCCCCTGGCACCTCTTCTGTTGGCAACTGAGGTTTTGAAGCAAGGACATTCCTTGGAGTGCCAAGCACCCACACCACTGATTCCATACTTAGCACCAATCCATATGAGAGATGCTGATGGTGAATCTCCTACCACTTGTCTCCTGCCCTGATGAGTGGATTGTGCAGCACGTCCTTTGAAGACATCCAATGTCCAAATTAAACCCATAACAAGTGAGAGGTGTTACACCAGCTTCTCTGCTCTTCTAGCAATCTTGGCTTCAAGGGGTCATCACCCAGTTGCTGGTGTCACTGTCCTCATTGCTTAACCAACAGCATCAAGCTGGTGGTGTCCCAGAGACACCAAGAGGGATGCACAGACCCCTTTGGGTGCTGTCAGCATCATTTGCAGCTTCATATCTCAGGGACTTT